AACCCCAAGGCCATTTCTTTTGAGGTAAGATCAGACATATTGCTTATTGGTCCAGTTGTGAAGCTTTTTGGTTTTTATATTGAATTTTGAGGTTTAATTCATAATCAACCTTTGTACCAATTCTTACATGAACTGTCCTTTCCATGCACTCTCTACATTTCTTCAGGGTTCCATAATTGCTACATAGTTGCTACACAAAACGCATAGACAATAGTCACAATTATGGAATTTATTAAGGAAATAACAGGTTACAACTCAGGTTCAAAAATGACTCAGGATACAGTTAATGACAGCCTCTTCATCCTTCCCTGCTGGTAGATTTCTCTTTGACCCTTGACTTCAGGCCTCTTCCCTGGTAAGGAGAGTGGTACAAAGCTCTTTTAACTCTGTCAATTAAAGTGCCTAGAGGCAAACCACTCTGCTAACAAGCTTCCTGCCTAAAGGCATTGTACTTTCTCAGTGTGTGGTCCAGGAATCTCAATGCTCTGCCTGATGATGGTGTCTTAATTCTGCTACTTCTGCTTACAGCTGACTTTGTCACTGCTTCTCATCGTCTCTCACCATATCCAATTTTACAGCTCTGTCTCCTGGATCAAGAAGGTTCAGCATAGGGATCTCATGTCTAAAGGAATCCAAAATGGTAAAACTGACCAGTCATTGCCATTAGGAGTCCTAACACCTTATTTCCATGTGTGGAGATGTAGGGTTAAAGACATGATCAAGAGATCAGTTTGACCCTCAAAGCTGGCAGTTCAAACTCACCAAGCACTCCTTGGAAACCATATACAAGTTTACTATGAGTCAAAACCAACTCTACAGCACTTAACAACAACAAAAAAAAACCTCCCCACTAGAGTGCAATGCATCTTACTTATATTATTAACAATTTATCCAAGATATCCAACCTTCTTCATGTGTCACAGATACCTCATATTTGCATAATCTTATTCAGTCATTCCACCACTCATCTGTCAGTTTGGCATACTGTAGAGGTTTTACCAAGCATAGTATTCTTTCCAGGGACCTGTCCCTCCAGATAACATATCCAAAAAACCTGAGACAAAGTCTTGCCCTCCTCACTTCTTAGGAGCATTCTGGATGTACTTCTTCCAAAACAGATTTGTTTGTTCTTCTGGCAGTCTCTGGTACTTTCAATATTCTTTTCTAGCTCCATAATTCAAATGCATAAATTCTTCAATGTTCTTCCATATTTATTGTCCAACTTTCACATGCATATGAAGAAGTTGAAAATACTATGGTTTAGGTAAATGAACCTTAGTCCTCAAAGTTACATCTTTGCTTTTTGACATTTTCAAGAGGACTTTTGTAGCAAACTTGCCCAAAGATATATGTCATTTTATTTCTTGACTGCTACTTCCATTGTCATTGGTTGCGTATCCAAGTAAAATAAAATTCCTAACAAATTAAATATATTTTGGTTTATCATGATATTGCTCATTGGTCCAGTTATGAGGTTTTTTTTATGTTGAGATTTGAGGTTTAATTCATAAGGCTTTGATCTTTGTCAGTAAGTGCATCAAGCATTTCACTTTCAGGAAATAAGGTTGTGTCATCTGGATATCACAAGTTATTAATAATCCTTCCTTCAAACCTGATGCCTTGTTCTTTCTCTTAGTCCATTTTCTTGGATTACTGGCTCAGCATGCAGATTGAATAAATATGGTGAAATAAGACAACCATGACACACCTTTTCTGATTTTAAATAATTCAGTATATACTAGTTCTGTTCAAATGACTGCCTTTTTGTCTACGTACACGTTCCACATGAGTATAATTAAATATTCTGAAATTCCTTGTCTTCCTAATGTAGTTATAGTTATATATATATCACTGTTATGATATACACAGTGGAGTGTCTTTGCATAGTCAATAAGGCACTAGTCAACATCTTTCTGATTTTCTCTGGTTTCAGCCAAGATTCATCTGATATTAACAGTGATATCCTTTGATTTATATTCTTTTCTGTATCTGGCTTAAATTTCCAACAGTTCCCTGTTTATGAACTGCTGAGACAGTTTTGGAATTATCTTAAGCAAACTTATTGCTTTTGTATAATACTAAGACTTTGATAGCCAATCTGAAGTATAAAGTATTACTGAGAAAAATTGTGCACACTGTATCATAAATCTGATCATTCACAAAATGATTAGTAAGTGTAATAGTTTTTAGGAGTTTTAATAATATTTAAGAGGAGCAGTTAAGAAATTGTCTTTTTTTTTCCTTTACTGTAGTCTAAGACACATAGTTCAGGATATATAAATATTTAAGAAAGAAGAAAAATATATAGCCAGCAAGGTGAAATTTTTGTGAGTTTCTTTAAAGTATGATTATCTTCTTTGAAACCTTAACAAAATTGTAATAAAAATTTCTAAAGACTTTGTTGTTTTTTTTAAGTGCTGTGTTGAGTTGGTTCTGATTCATAGTGAATCTACATGTACAGGGTCTCTGAGGAGCTGTTGGTGGGTTCAAACTGCTGACCTTGTGGTTAGTACTCCAGTGCTTATGAGTAACTACAGTGTCACACTTGTACTTGTTGTTGTTAAGTGCCTTTGAGTCAGTTCAAACCCATAGCAACCCTTTATATGGTTTCTGAGGTGGGTTTGAACTGCCAACCTTGTGGATCAAACTGATTTTCAGTCCAGCGCATTAACCCACAGCACTATACCAGTCCTCTCTGAATACTTTAAAGATTAGGCTATTTAAACCATATGGTAAAAATTTGTTGTTTGGTGCTACCATGGCATTTCAGACTCACAATGGCCCTGTGTAAAACAGAAGGAAACATTGCCCAGTCTTGCACCATCCTCAAAATCCTTACATGCTCTTCTACCTAAATGTTACAGATGAAGAGACCAGAGTAAATGTAAAAATAAACTTTCTGTATGTTAGCACATTGATGATTTTAGTTAGATGATTTTAACATCTTCGCTAAAGGTACAGCATGCCATGCTACCATCAATTAGGGACTTTCAGAGACAAAACAAATGACTTGCATTCAGTTTCCACCTTCATAGCTATATGAAGAGTCAATAATAACATTTCAATACCATTAGAGTTTATACCTTGATAAGTGAGTTTAATATTCTTGTTTTAAATTTTTTCTCATCTCTGAAAAAAAACAAACAAACAAACATATGTGTGTTATTCTCATTAGGTCTTTAAAAAATTATAATGTCATGTTTCTATTTGTGAAAAAAAAATTAAATTAAAACAAAACAAAACAAAAAAAAACCTGATTGTATAGATTATGAAGTGTTGCAGTTTCAGATTAAATTCTGTTGAGTAGATAGACTGTCTTGATGAAACTATAAAAAGAAACCTCTACCAACTATCCTTTATAACATGGAGAGTGGTGACTATGTGGGATAAGCACTGAATAAGGTTAGTGGTTCAAGCTACCAGCCATTCCAAGGGGGAAAATGAGACGTTTTGCTCCTGCAGAGTACAGAATCTCTATGAGTCAAAACCAACTCAGCAGCACTTAACAATAGCACTCCTTTATTAGTACTATAACATCTATCTGAAATTTAATATATATGGGGATATTTTCAGAAAAACAATCAATTTAACCAAAAATTCATACAAAAAAAAACACACAAAATGTGGGAAAAGGTATAAACAAGAACTTTTATGTATTTAAAATGTGGTAGGTCTAAACTTTATATTCAGTTTGGTAATTTCAAAAAGGTAATGAGGGATTATGGATGTCTAGTCTAGATGTAGTGCAAGGCAGTGAAAATAGTAATTGCTCCTATTGTTTCAGTTTCCAAAATTATATTTCCAGTCATTTTTTTTCTCGTTACATCTTCACTCACTGATTGCTGTTGTTGTTAAGTATAGTTGAGTCTGTTCCAATTCATAGTGACCCTGTACAGGGTTTCTGAGGAGTGACTGGTGAGTTTTAAATCACCAACCTTGTGGTTCTAACTGACATTGTGGTCTAGTTGTTTTCCTACAGCACCCTATCAGGACCCCATTCACTAATTGACAATGCACAGAAGTTGAAAGTTGTAAAAAGGAAAATAAAAAAATTGTGTATTTCTATTTTTGTTAATGTTCCCTGATTCAACTTGTTGTAGTTCAGACTCATAGCAATGCTGTATAAGGCTTCCAAAGAGCATTTGGTGGGTTTTAACTGCCGACATTTTTGTTCCCACTCCAGTGTTTATACAATAGTGGGAAATTAAATTAAGGGTCTCGGGATACTCTTTCCATTTCCCAATGTTAATTATGATCAGAAATATAACTCACTAAGCAGTGTAGGATAAGACTAACCATAATGTTGCCAGTTCAAACCTACCAGCCTCTATATGGGAGAAAAATAAAGTTGCTTCTGTAATATATACAGTCTTAGAAACTGTATACAGAATCACTAAGTCAGAATTGATTAAATAGAGTAAAGACATAAAACATAAGTCTTTTTTGGCAGTATGTGAGGCATTGTCATCATTCTCTATCAAGGGCATCAGATTTGGTGTACCCTCAAATTTACTTATGAGTGAAACATGCTCACAAATAGAAACACTGAAATATATCCTCTAAAATAATTAATGTTGTTTTTGTTATGTGCCTTGGAATCGGTTCTGACTCATAGCAGCCCTGTACAGGGTTTCCGAGGTTTTACATCTTTACAGGAGCAGAAAGCCTCATCTTTCTCCCGTGGAACAGCTGGTAGTTTTGAACTGCTGATCTTGAGGTTCGCAGCCCGATTTGTAACATTAAAATTAATGTTTGCCAAAGACATGTAAAGTGGATGAATAAATGGACATCACTTACAAATAATTAATTTTCAGTTTCCTTATTAGTAGTAACACATTTAGAATGTGTATAAGTTTTGTTTGTTTTAAACATCAGATTTGGACTAACAGTCCATTAATTACTGGTTGATTTTCTATTGTATCATTCTATATTTTACTATTATCATCAATAATTCATGAGTTAACTTATATGTACTTTTTAATTTACATGTACATTCCAAGGACCAAGAGACCAGCTATACAATTATCAAATCTAAAGAAACAACTATTACCGCAGAAGGCCTGAAACCAGCTTCAGTGTATGTATTCCAAATCCGAGCGCGCACAGCAGCTGGCTATGGTGTCTTCAGTCGAAGATTTGAGTTTGAAACCATCCCAGTGTGTAAGTCATTTTAATTACTGTCAACTCATATCTCTGTAATGGTTAACAGAAAAAAGTCATTGGATCAACACCCTGCCAGGGTACTCTTTCAAGTCTCTCTCAATTCTCTTTCTCAGGTATGACCCCTTAAGGTAGGAAGGATCTATCATGCTATTATGGTAGGTTGGTGTGTTAAAACCTGCTTCCTCAGTGCATTTAGTTTACTCAGAGATGAAGCATTCGGAGATCCTTAAGAAATATTTAAAGATTGTTTTAAAGACATTCTTTCCACTGCTACTATACTTCATCGAATTGTACCAATTTACTTTTCACTTGTTTCATTTATCTGTTTCACTCTTCTACTAGGCTTAGTCCTTCTCTGAAAATACCATAGGGGCTTTCTTTAGTATTGTGTTTAGCAGGAAAACAGTATTCATAGAAACCAATCTGATTGAAAAGAAAATGTTTCAGGCAATATAGTACTTTGAGTACAGTGGTGCTATTTCTGGAGTATCTTTCTTATAACCTTACTTTTCATTAAAATAACATGAAAATGTTTCTCCTAAATCCAAATAAATATTCAGAACACTTATTTGTCCTAAGTTAAATTCATTACACATTGGATTGTTATTTTTGTTGTTAAGTGCTACTGAGTTCCGAGAAGGTTTGAACTGCCTACTTGATTGTTCAAACCAACCTTGTAGTCCAGTGCTTATCCTACAGTGCCACTCCAGGACTCCAAACATTGGATTTTTGTTGTTGTCATTAAGTGTTTTTGAGTCGGTTCTGACCGACAATGACCCTGTATAGGGTTGCGGAGGAGCAGATGGTGAGCTTGAACTGCTGACATTTCAGTTTAAAGTAACTTTGCAGTCCAGCCAATTAACACAAAATGCCAAACTAGGACTCAAATATTGAATTAGATCATTTTCATCTTCTTAACAAAATGATAATAGTGTCAACTCTTTCACCTATAAACAAGGCAAGGAATTGTGATATTTTCAACATTGAATTTTTATTATTGTTGTTAAGTGCCGTCGAGTCAGTTCCAACCCATAGTGACCCTGTATAGGGTTTCCAAGAAGCAGCTGATGAGCTTGAACCACTGACCTTGTGGTTCAAACCAACCTTGCATTTCAGAACATTAAGTGAAAGAATTGACACTTATCAGTTTATTGTTGTTGTTGTTGCTAAGTACCACGGAGTCGCTTCCAACTCATAGTGACCCTGCACAGGGTTTCCGAGCCTGTAAATCTTTATGGGAGCAGAAAGCCTCATCTTTCTCTCACGGAACGGCTGGTAGTTTCAAACTGCCGACCTTGAGGTTAGCAGCCCGATTCATAACCACTATGCTACCAGAGCTCCTTTATCGTTTTGTTAAGGGGATGATGATACATAGGAATATTGTGAAATACGTATCGTTTTAAAAGACAGATTGTATTAAAGTTATTGATTTTAAATTAGAAAAATTAAATGTATATTTCTTTCTTTTGAAACTAAACAAACTTATTGATTTGTCATCAGGTTTACTTTATAATGATTAGAAGAATTATTAAATTAAAATCTCAATAAACCTGTATAAAATCATTCTTTAAATAACATTATATGTTACTGTTTAAATCATGGTTAGGTTAAATGTTTAGAAAAACTAATATTTGTTACTTAAAATTAATTTTGAAAATGGTTCTTTAAATAATATTACTGTCAAAATAATGGTGAACTTAAATTACTTAAAAATTACATTTAAGCAACATATTTTATAGTTGTTAAGTGCCATCCAGTCAGTTCCGACTCATAGCAGTCTTGTGTTGATACTCCAAGGAGCAGCTGGTGAGTTTGAACTGCTGACCTTCTAGCTTAAACCTACCTTGAAGCTGAGTGTTTATCCTACAGTTGTCACACAAGAACTTCTTAAACAAAATATGTTGTTTAGTGCTGTTGAGTCAGTTCCAACCCATAGCAACCACGTATAGTGCTTCTGAGGAGCAGGTGGTGGGTTTTAAGTGCAGACCTTGTGGTTCAAACTGACCTTGCAGTCCAGCGCATTATTCTATAGCACCGCCAGGACTTCTAAATAACATATGTTGTTGTTATTGTTAAGTGCCGTCGAGTCGGTTACGACCCATAGCAACCCTGTATAGGGTTTCTGAGGAGCAGCTGGTGAGCTTGAACAGCTGACTATGCAGTTCAAATGGCTTAACACATAGTGCCACATCAGGACTCCAAATATCGTATAGGAATGTATTATTTAATCTTTCAACCTTAACCCTAAATGAGATTTATGACAAATCACCTGCTATATAAGCTGATCATTGTAATAGTTATTGAATTTTTTCAGCATCATTAATAATTTATACTTCACATGTAGTCTACTAACTCAGGGAACACAGTCATTTAATATTTCAGAATGAGATTACAAATAAAAATTCTATCTTAAAAAATGTTTAAATGTTACTTAGTTATAGGATGTTTGCATTTTTATCAACCAGTTTTCTTCAGATTGCTCAAAATTACTTACCCTAATTGGGCATGCCAGAATTTTTAATAAGATCATGAATGTGCAGTCAGTTTCTCATAAACCCATGAGAGTCAAACAAAAATTATCTGCACTTTAGTTGTATTAAAATACCCACCCATGTCCACAGATGATGACAACATTGAGCTTGCATGTGAAGTGATTAAGTTGAATAGACAAGTGACTGTGGAATGTGTAACAAATCTTTTGCAAATCATCTGTGGCTCTGCCTATGAAATAATCAAGGACAGACTTGGGTTTCAAAAAGTTTGTGTGAGAAGCACTAAAACAATGCTCAGAAGAGCATAAACAGAAGCATTTGGACATCTGCAAACAAACTTTGGACTAATACTTGGAAGAAATTCAAAGTTTCTTTTAAAAAATCATTCCACTTGATGAAACATGGCCTCATCACAATGAGTTGGGAGAAAACAGCTAAGTATGGAATGGAAACATGTTCAATTGCCGACCAAGAAAAAGTCAAAAGTCAAACATCAGCTGGAAAATTGATACTTGCAGTTTCTTAGGATTATCAAGGGATAGTATTAAAGGTTCATAATCACCAGTGCTCATTGCACTGAGATGCTCACTGAAGAGCTGAAGCTTACTTCAGATTAAATGCAGAGGACTGCTATCAAAAGTCATTATGATTTGCATGACAATGGATGTCTGCATACCTCTGCCCACACTGTTGTTGTTGCTGTTGTCAGATGCCATTGAGTTGGAACCAACTCATA